CTGGACCTGCGCTCTGGGGTGTCCTGAGTTCTGTCTTCTCGCCCCCTCTCTCGCAGCCGGCGGCGTGCCTCCCTCCTGGCATCCATTCTGGAAGCGAGGACTCCTGCAGCCCTCTGCTCTCCGCAGCACCTCCGTCCGCAGGCCTGCGGCTTCCACTTCCTCCATCTCTCTGGAGCACTTTCTTCTTTCTGTGCTTTGTTCCTCTCTCGTTTCAGGCCCTTCATGTCTCTTGTCTGAACCACTGCAACAACTGGTGAATTGGTTTCCTGCCTCCAGTCTTGTTCCTTTCAAATCCACCCTCCATTAATTTGCAGAGTGGTACTTGTAAGTGTGAAGCTGGCGTGCCACCCCCTGCTTGGCACCCGCCGAGACTCGCATCGCCTGAAGTCGCTTTCCTGACACAGCGTACACCCCACGGTGGTCTGGTGGCTCTCAGCCTCGTCAACTTCCTCCAGCCCCGCCTCATGGTGGGAATCCTGCCTACGCTTCTCCCAGCCCACCATAGGGTTGCTCATTTTTGGAAGTGATCTGGGCTGTCTTATGTCTAGGAAATCAAAGAAGACCAAACCATGTCCCTCCAGGGGCTCCCTGGCAAGATGGATGCTCAGAAAATAGTGGCAAGTGGGAAATCAAATCATCCCTTTATTGCTGGCTGAGCCTGGCGCCCAGATCTAGTTCAGACCAAACGGTCAGCCTGCGAGACTGTGAAACTCTGGGCCCATTTCTTAACCCTCTGTACTTCAGTTTCTTAATCTGTGAAATGGGGGTAATAACAGTACCTCCCACATGAGGTTGTGGTGAGACACACAGGAATTAATCTGCGTGAGACACTTGGAACTATCTGCTGTCATGGTAGCAATCCGCAAACGTTAGTAAGATACTGATAATTATGTTAAATCGTTAGTTTGGTTAATTCCAGTGTACCGTTGGATAGTAGGCGTGGCGGTGAGTTCACCACCTTGCTTTTGACCCACTTTCTTTTTGGACCACAGGGAGCACTTGGTGCTGTTTCACGTGAACTGGACAGACCACTGTAGCCCGCTTCTCATCCACGGCCAGGTTCTGGCCTAAGGCTCACGACATATAATGTCCCTTTTGAGATTCACAGTCAGATTCTGCAAGAATCTGACCTTGAAACCAAGTTTCATGATTTAGTTTGCCTCAGTAGCATTTCATCTTTGCAGTTGGTATTGACATCTAAAAACTCCTAAGTATGTGGAGAAGCACCGCCCCCTCTTCATCAGTGCGCCCCAGGGCGAGAGCATGGAGCCTGGCTCAGAGTAGGGTGGGTGAATGCATTAACAAAGCCCTCGGACTTTATGTGTGGCAGTGGGCGCAGGGGTGTTATCTGCTCCCGCCTTCGCCCACGACAGCCCCAGCAGACCTCCTGCTGAAGCGTGGCAACACCTCAGTCACCACACTTAGGGAGAGGGGACCCAGGTAGGACTTAGGTGCTGATTGATTCCCTGTAAAAGGTTTTGGTGGGCATAAGGTAGTAGAAGCAAACCGATGACAGAGAAAGACGGGAGGTTTTTCCTCCTGAAACCCCAGAGCCGTTGAGCAGTACAAGGGGCCGCAGGGGTTGAGCTCCCTGCATCCAGCAGGGGCTAAGCTCACAGACGTCAGAGGCCACAGAAGAATGTCTCCTCCTGGAGGGAAGCTTGGTCGAGGTCAGCCTTTGGAAGCGTCCCTTCCAACTGTAAGGACTGAAGATTTCCATAGAAGTCAGTAGCTTGGGAAGTGATGTCCCGTTGGGGCTCACCTGCACATTTTTTGCCTATCTGCTCATGTTTTGGCAGTTTTTCCTCTCGTCAGCAGTTCTACCAAGGAGAGGGCGTGGGGAATAAAAGGAGTTGAAACTCTCATGAGGCAGTTTACTGTCTTTCCCACAAGAAGGCTGAAATTGGCTCTCGAGCCTAAGTTAGGTTTGTGAGACAATTTCTCACTGTCACCGTTCCTTCCTGCCTCTGTGCCCCCAACCCCTCAGCACTGGCAGTGTAGCGTTTCCGGTGGTTCTTTCGGATGTTTGTGTAAGTGCTAGTGTTCCAAACATAATTGCATAATATTTGCTAATTTAGGGATGGATGTGCTTGAAAATGTTTTAGCTTTTATTTTTACTTTGCAGATAATCACATGGCATTTTAGACTGTATTCTCTGCTCGGTAGATAGATGAAGGAGATCAACTAATTTTTGCCTTTGTTCCAGGTCCTTTTGTTTAGTAAACCGCAGTGGGCCAAACCACAGAGTCCTCCGTGAAAGACCCAGCATAGCTCATGCAGTGTAGCAAAAAGCATCCCGACCCACTTGTGGCCTTGACCTAGGCTGGGGTCCCTGGGGAGGTTTCGGAGCAGTGTGGGTCATCAGATCTACTTCCCTCCAGGGAGCAGCAGCATGGCCCTCATGGCCTGGATGGCGCCTTTCTCTGTCCCGGAGCAACAGACTGAAATGAGCAGGGGCAGCTTCTTGGAGAGGTTTCCCAGGAAGCCTGCGCAAGACTCAGAAGTTAGTTGAATAGTGAGAGAGAAGTCTAGGAGGCGCTCAGGTTTCTCTCTGGGTGATCAGCTGATTTTGTAGAGAGGTAGCGGGTCTGAAATGGGCATGTTTATTTGGAGGTGTCTGCAAAGCATCCCTGCAGAGACACCTGTAAGACGACTGAAAACTCCTATCTGTGGTTCAGGAAAAATCATAACTGGCTATGTAGACCCAGCAATCAATAGTGTAGACATGATGGTTGGAAACATAGCAGGAGAACAAAACAGGTCCAAGGACAGACCATGGAGAAAGCCAGCATTTAACGTTAGGCCTGGGAAGGGGGTCTGGTGAATTCACTGGGACGGTTCGCAGCACAGGGAGAGCCTGGTGAGTTCCACGTCACCATGTAGCAGATGTCACTGTGGGGATCGCAGCCGGCTAACGATGATGGGGTGTGATGAGGTCTGAGAAGAGCACTGCCTGTCCTGCAGGGGTGGTTAGCCTAGGGGATCACCCAGCCCCGAGAAAGGGAGGTGGACCCTGAGGGCCCACCAGTCGGACATGCTCTTTAAGACTGTGAGGTGGGCGGGGCCTAGGAGACGGAATAGTGACTTAACGAAGGACAAGGTGGACAGCAGTTTTCTTTTCACTTCCTTCCCGCCCTCTCTCCGTCCCTTCCCCCTCTTTACCTCTCTCTCTCAATGGGAAGACTTCAGCACCTCTCTGGACTCCTAGGGAGAAATCATCAAAAAGGGACTGATTAAAGTGTCAGAGGAGAGAGGACACTTTCCTTGCTTGCTGGCCACTTGACCTTCGCTGAGGCACTGCTGCTCGCTTAGCCCTTCAGGTAACAGCGGCAAAAGGTTAATGAGTTGGACCCTTGAGGAGTCAGGGTGGTTTTGAGGTCTTGGACACAGTGGTGCATCAGCTCCCACAGGCACAGCATGAGCTGTGTACAGTATCCAATAAAAACAGTAAGTGCTAGTTTCTGTGGCATCTTAGAGATCAGTTTATGTTACGTCATTTAATTCTCACAACCTTACAAGGGGAAGTTGTTATCACCATTTGACTGGTGAGAGGCCCAGTGCTCAGAGAAATCTCACCACCTGCTGAGGCTCCATCTTTGGCCAGTGCCAGAGGTCAGATGAACTTGTCCCATCTGGATCCCCTGCACCGTGCGCTGCTCCATGCTCTCCGGTTAGACCAGGAAGCTGCTCATGGTTCCAAATGGGCCCGGAGTGCAAACCTGGGGTTTCTCTAGCACTCTGCTGGAACGCTGTACAGCACATGGTTTGGAGAGACACTTTGATATTGTCCCAGCCAGGAGTAAGGACGTGGGGTATGACAGTGACCGGATGACCCTCCATCGCCCAGCCCATGGCCAGGTCTCCTGGGCTCCCCCACAGGTCTCAGCAGCACCCTTTCCCCCTTGCCACTCTGAGTGCCTGGTGCTTCGGCAGTGTGCCAGGTGGCTGTGGAAAGACTGCAAAGCCTGTTTGTGTCCTTACCCTGAAAGTGCCAGGTCTTAACCAGGTGGGGTGGGGTGGGGGTGGGGGCAGGAGCATGGGAATAGGGTTTAACACCTTGCTAACCGACTACTTCGAGCTAGAACTTGCCCATGTGGCCAGCTGCTTTTCCATTGTGACGAGTCACCAAGGTGTTTAAAATTACTTAAATTAAGTGCAGTCATGAGTTGTCTTGTGACTGGTCAGCAATGTTGAGACACGGAAACGTGTGTATACTTGTGACGGGTCAGCAAACATAACAAATGGATTTCCCTAATGGTGGACTGCGTTGGGTGACACCTGTGTAAGGCAGGTGCTTACAGGTAAATACTATGCAGGAAATAATTTAAAGAAGCAAGTACATCAGGAAATTAATTGTAAGGGGCCCTGTTTTGAAAGGCATTCAATTTTTTTTTTTTTTTTTTAATCTTCATTGATTTCAAAGAGAGGAAGGGAGAGGGAGAGAGAGAGATAGAAACATCAATGATGAGAGTCATTGATCCGCTGCCTCCTGCACACCCCCTACTGGGGATCGAGCCCGCAACCCGGGCATGTGCCCTGACCGGGAATCGAACTGCGATGTCCTGGATCCTAGGCTGACGCTCAACTGCTGAGCCACGCCCGGCCAGGTGGCATTCAATTTTTAAAAGGCGATAAAATAATTGTATTGCTTTTTTAAAAAATTTCCTTGTTCAGCAAGAACTGTAAATTCTGGGGTGAACAAAAAAAGATGTGAAATAAATGAAAGCCAAATTTGAAAAGGCCCCCTCCTAGTCTGGGAACACCTGGCCTGTCACTTGGTTGGTTCTGTAGAGGCAGGACTCAGCATCCCATGGTCATGTTTTCCTTAGAGCTACCCCAATGGGATGGGCCTGCTCACCTCAGGCTTTTGGGGTCTCAGACACACACGGATGGGAGAACAGTGACAGCGGACACTGGAGGAGCTGTGCCTGCCCCTTTTCCATAGGGCTTGGTCTCGGCTGGGGCTCGCCTTTCCCTAACCGTCCTTCTTGTCCCTGCAGCCTTTCCGCTGTGCCCACTGCCATTACTCGTGCAACATATCGGGCTCCCTGAAGAGGCACTACAACAGGAAGCATCCCAACGAGGAGTACGCCAATGTGGGCGCTGGGGAGCTGGTGGCCGATGCGCTCGTCCAGCAAGGTAGGCATGTGCTGGCCCGGGGCCCTGCTCAGTCCTGCCAGGCTGCGCTTCTGCTGAGAGAGCTGTTACACTGATCATTTAATCCTGATCCCTGAACGTTGTTAATTCTTCATCATCACCATGTCACCCCCTTTCTCCCCAGTACTGTTTACCACCCTTCCTTCCTTGTTGGCAGGATCACATTAGAGCAACCTCAGTGGAAATATGAAATGAAAAAGTGATAATGTGCCCACAGACACCCCCCC